GAGAGCTTGTGCAGGGAAACTCCCATTTTTAAAACCATTAGATCTCATGAGACTCTCATGAGTAAGCATAGACAAGCATGTCTCTACTCACTGACAAAGTCATAAGTAACAATCTGTAAGATTAAACCGATCATTACATTTTAAAGCATATATTTCATAATTACTTCCTATTTTATGGGAGAGTACCTCCAAGAATATCCAGCAAGGATTTACCATTCATTCAGAATATTCCATCATTTATTTACCACATCTTTTTTGAGTGTCTGTTACATTCACTATCACGAGTACAGCACAAGAAAGACCCACCCCCATACTTCAATCACCTCCCACTGGGTTCCTCCCACAACATGTGGGAATTGTGAGAGTTACAATTCAAGATGAGATTTGGGTGGGGACACAGACAAACCACATCAACATACAAGTTCAAATTTTCTATTAGCCACATTAAAAAAATAAAAAAAAAACTTAGCTAAAGAAATAAGTTGGAAGTATCACACTTCCTCATTTCAAACTGTATTACAATGATACAGTATCAAAATGTATGGTACTAGCATAAAACCATACACACATACCAATGGAACAGAATGGAGAAGCCAGAAATAAATCCACTCACATACAGTCAACTAATCTTTGATATGGGTGTCAATGAATATATACAATATGCAATGTGAAAAGGATAGTCTCTTCAATAAATGGTGTTGGAAAACTTTTGTTATGTTGGATATCCATATAGAAAATAATAAAATTGGACCCTCATCTTACAACACATACAATAATTAACTTGAAATGGATTAAAGATGTAAATGTAAGACTTGATACTCTAAAACTCCTAAATGAAACCATAGGGGAAAATCTCCTTGGCATTGGTCTTGGCAATGATTTTTTGGATAAGACACTGAAGCACAAAGGAAAGCAAAAATAAGTGGTACTACATCAAACTTAAAGACTTCTGTACAGCAAAGGAAACAAAGTAGAAAACAAAATGGGAAAAGAAACCTATGGAATAAAAATATTTGTAAACCATACATCTGATGAGAGATCAATATGCAAAATATATAAGGAATTCATATAACTCAATAGCAAAAAAATAACCTGATTGAAAAATGGACAAAAAAATCTAAATAGACATTTCTACAAAATAGACATACAAATGGCCCATAAGTACATGAAAAGATGATCAACATCGTTAACCATCAAGAAAATACAAAGCAAACCCACCATGACATGTCACCTCATAGCTGTTAGGATGACTATTAGTTTTTAAAAAGACAACAAGTGTTGGTGAGGACGTGGCAAGAGGAGAACCCTTGTACACTGTTGATGGGAATGGAAATTGGTACAACTACTATTTTATGGGAGAGTACCTCCAAGAATATCCAGCAAGGATTTACTATTCATTCAGAATATTCCATCATTTATTTACCACATCTTTTTTGAGTGTTTGTTACATTCACTATCACGAGTACAGCACAGGAAAGACCCACCCCCATACTTCAATCACCTCCCATAGTGGTTTTCAACTACTATGAAAACCAGCATGGAGGTTCCTCGAAATTTAAAAAATAGAGTAACCATACAATTCAGCAATTCAGCAACCCCACTACTGGGTATATATTAATAAGGAAATGAAACTAGTATGTCAAAGACATATCTACATTTCCATTTTATTGCAGCATTATTCATAATAGCCAAGATATGGAAATAACCTAAGTGTCCATCTATGGATGAGTTCATAAAGAACCTGTGGTGTGTATATGTGTATACATATACATATACACATACATATACATATACATATACATAATGGAATATTATTCAGCCATAAAAATGAAGGAAATTCTGCCATTTGCATCAAGAGGACGTTATACTAAGTGAAATAAGCCACATACAGAAAGACAAATACTGTATGATCTCACCTATATGTGGAATCACAAAAACTTGAATTCTACGCAGAGGCGGTGGCTCACACCTGTAAGCACTTTGCGAGGCTGAGGTGGAAGGACTGCTTGAGGCTGGAAGTTCTAGTCAGCCTGGGCAACACAGCAAGACCTTGTTTCAATAAAAAAAAAAAAAATTGCCAGATGTGACAGCGATGTCTGGGGTCCTAGGCAAGGTGGGAAAATCACATTTGCCAAGGAGTTCTAAGCTGCAGTGAACTGTGAACATTCCATTGCACTTCAGCCTAGACAACAGAGTCAATAGAGTAAGACTCTGTCTCTAAAAGGAAAGAAAAAAAAATAGAACTCAAAGAAGTAGAGAGCAGAATGGTATTGCCAGGGCTGGGGTTTGGGAAGAAACCTCCAGTTTCAAAATGAGTAAGTTCTGGGAATCTGCCATATGGCATGGTGACTACAGTTAATATTATATTGTTTACTTGAAATTTTGTAAGAAAGTATATCTTAAGTGCTCTCAGCCCCCACCCCGCTCCCCGCCCACACAATGGCAACTATGTGTGGTGGTGGATGTATTGATTGTGGTAATCATTTAACAATGTATATGTATATCAAATAATCATTAATATATATAATTTTTATTTGTCAATCATACCTCAATAAAGCTGGAAACAATTTAAAACAGGTAAGATTAATTTTAATAACATATTTTTCTTAACACAATTATGCAAAATATTGTAATTTCAACTTATAGTCAACACAAAAATTATTAGTGGGATATTAATTTTTTTCATACTAAATCTTGGAATCCTGCATATATTTTACACTTATAGCACATCCCAATTCAGACACTATTTTTAAATCAGAAATACTTGATCTATATTTAGATTTCAAAAAGTTTACAATTGAAAAAGTATACACATAACCCATATTTTCCAAATACACTTAGAAGTATCTAGTAACTTGAATCAAATATCAATTTTTAAATTAAAGTTAATTAAAATTAATACAATTAAAATTCAGTTTTTTGATTGTGCTAGTCACATTCTAATGACTCATCTGGCTATTACGGTTGGACAGCATAGTTGTAAAATAAGTGTGTAAGTACCTCTGGGTCAAATCTCTAGCCTGGACTTAATATTGAGAAAAATTAAATCAGCAAACAGGTTGGTCATGTAGTACTAATAGTAAACATTATGGATTACTTTCAAACTCTTCGTTGTTGGTCCATATCCACTCAGACAAGATGTAGCTCAGAGGAAATAGTGAGGGTATTTGAAAAAGATACTTCAATTAGCAAAGAGACTGAAGTTAATTGGGGAAAGCTTAGAGTTCATGATATGAAAGCAAAAGTTTGTTAATACTGATTTACCATTCTTGTCCCCGTTACTGAGGTAAATAAACAGATTCAAGTGGTGGACAGGCTCTGAACAGAACTGATAAGTGTCTGGTTAAGATGGGGATAGCTAGTTCTCTTACTTTTTCCACTGTACTCATCAAAAACAAACAAACAAAAAAACAAAACAAAAACCACCCACCACAAACAAAATCTAAAATTATAAAATACAACTTGTATTTTTCCCAAAATTACAAAAGTTTCTTTTGATCTACGTAGGCAAAACTATAGACATGCTTCTTTGACAAGCATGTCTATGCTTACTGACAAAGTCGTAAGTAACAATCTGTAAGGTTAAACCGATCATTACATTTTAAAGAGCATATTTCATAATTACTTCCTATTTTATGAGAGAGTTCCTCCAAGAATATCCAGCAAGGATTCACCATTCGTCCAGAATATTCCACCATTTATTTACCAAATCTTTTTTGAGTGTCTGTTACATTCTAGACACTGCGTTATTCATAACGGTGAACAAGAAAAGCCCCACCCACATAAAATACGTGACAAGAGCTGTCAGAGGAAAGGCCGTGATGAGAGCTCGCTGAAGTAGGCTTGCAGATTTAGTAAATAAAAATTTTTATTTTTAAAAATTTAGCAAATAAACATATGGATACCAAATATTCCACTGGACAGATTAAAAATTATTTGCTTTTTATCTGAACTTCAAATTTAACTGAGCGTCCTATTTTTATCTGGCAAACCTACATGGAAGGGAAAGCTTGGAAGTGGAGGGAGGATGAATGGAGATAATTCTGGAAGCCTTCCTTTAGAAAGGAATTTCTAAAATGAATGCTAGGCATAGCGGAGAAACAGGGAGAAAACACAGTAATGCCAACTGACTTCCCAGGCCACTGTAGAGTTCAGGAACTGAAAGAAGCAAAGGGAATGGGGTAAGGAAGAAGAAAAGTGGGTACGATGTTGAGAGATGAAGCTTGAGGGAAAAGTAGGTGCCTTATTTTTCAGGTTCGATAAGGAATTTGTACTGTATCACCAGTGGTGAGATTCCACTAGAAAACTTTAAGCAGCTCATTTTGGCTACAAGGTGAAGAATGAACTACAGTCCGGCAGACAGGATGTTGCGAGACCAGTTAGGAGGCTACTGATGGAATTCAGGTGAGTCCACAGAGGCCTGGACAGAGTCAGCGGAAAGAAAGGTGCACTAGTCACGAACACCTGAACGTGACACGGCAGAAAACAAGCAACTGCAAACTTGAATATAGAGGAGGACTGGGAGAGACGAAAGCAGAAGGACATATTTGGGGAAACAGTGAAGAATGGTAAAAAAAAAAAAAAAAAAAAAAAAAAATCAAAGGTCTTCTGAGAAGTACAGCATGATAAGGACTGAGAAGTGACTCCTAGATTTAGCCATATGGAAGTCATCAGCGATCTTTGGCACGGGCAGTCTTAGAGGAATGGCTGAGGCCAATTAGGTCGCAGCCTGGTCGAGGAGGTGATGCTGGTCTAGGAACCCGACTGGAGCAACACGCGGTTCCCACTTCTTCTTTGCCCTTTTAACAGGTGAGGGTCAAGGACAAGAGACTAGTTGCAGATGCAGCGGCCAGTGCCCCAATCAGTTGGAACAGCGCAGCAAGCGGATCACTAGGAGCCAATCCCTTCCTAGAGTCCACTTGACTGACAGAGCCGCGCACCACAGACGGAGCGCAGAGAGGGAGGTGAATCACGAGGGGGCGGAATTCCAGGGCACTAACCCGGAACCGGTTTGGGACTTGATTCCCATTGTGAGGCCAGGCCTGGGGCGGGCTCTCAGCCAGAATGGCAACATCCTTCTAGCCAATAGATGAGCCTTACCAAATGAGCGGCAGCCACGTCAGCCAATGGGTGGCAGGAGATGGGCGGGCGCAGTCAGTGGGCGGGGGATCAATGAAGCATCTTTTTTCCAACCCCCCCTGGGGCGACGGTGGGGAGGTGCCGCCGGGGTCGCAGGTGAGCGGATCTGTGCCTGAGGAGGCGGCCAGGGAAGCGGTGGCTCCGTGACCAGTGGGTGCCCTCGCAGTGGGGAGGGGCCCGGAGGGGTCAGCGGCAAGTGGCCGCAACGCTTGCTGCCGGGTTTGGTCCGAGGGCTGCGGCGTAGCGGGACTGCACGCTCGGGAGAAGTGCCACGCGCGTCTGTCGCCTGACCGGGGAGGCTGGGGAGGGCCCAGGCCACGGAAACAAGATTACAGAAGTTTCTGGGCACTCAGTCGGGACTCTCATTTAATATCCAGAGAGGAAATCTTACAGGTTACTCCGACTCCTACCCGGACTCCTACCAGCAGCAACCGCATCATTGTGGCCGAGGCAGGTGCGCGCCCCTGCTCCCCTGGGTGGCTTTCCGGGAGCCCAGTCTAACTCGATTCTTCCCAGAGGCTGTTTTTGGACGGTCCCAAAGGAGGCAGCGGGAGGGAGGTGAAAGATACTTTGATAACCGTCGACCCTGAAGTAAACTTGTTGTGTACCTACCACGAGTTTTAGAGAAGAACATCTTTTTTGGCAGGGGAGTGAATCCCCTATAATATAGGGGAGGGGAAAGTGACACTTTAAAGAGAATTGGGGTAGGGTTGATATGTAGATTTGTGATGCTTTTCTTCTTGAACTGCTTAGCTAATTTACCCTCAATTTTTTTTGATCCGTAACTTACCGTCTGGTTTTTCTCAGACTTCTTAATTCTGTCTTATCATGAAGTATCTAGGAACTTCATTCTCAAGTTTTAGTGCTTGTAAAAAGTTGCCGGGTTATATTACGCCATTGGCGGTACGTCATCTTCACAAGGATTACGGGTTAAGTGAACTACATCTCATTCCTATTTCCAACCAGTAAAGAACGATTGTGAAATGGGATTTTAGAAAATGGCTGTTCTCTGTGATTGGGCATGGAAGGTTTGTAAGTTTTAGAGACTGCAGCTGTTGAATCCTTTCTGCTATGAGAGTGACGACAGCCAATACAAAAGGGATAGTGTTTGACATCTAAAATGACATATTTTCACATTTTTTGAGGTGTTATATCCTCACTACCAAAAATAGTGCCTGGCACACAGTAGCAGCTCAATAAGTATTTTTTGAGGAAATTATTGGGGAATGAATGGATGGTAGAAACCCCAAGCTTCTGTTACTTGGATACCAACATATAAAGGAGAGGACAGAAAGACAAACATTTCTGGAAATGGCTTTTATCCAGGTAAGCATATCTAGAGAACTTCAGCAACTCCAGATGCATCAGTGCTGGCACTTTCTTGCACTTAATCAGAAAATGTCAAGGTTTTAGAAGAAGATTTTCACACAATTAAGCCAAGACTGGATATCTAAGGTGCATCCCAATATCAATTTCAGTCAGGTTAAAAAGGTATTAAAGCCCATTTTATTAAATGAAATAGTTCATCGGTTCAGAATAGGTCAGTTAGGGACAACAGGATACCACTTTGTAAGTTAGGGGTATGGAGTTAGGAACTGTTGGTAAAAAATAGGCCCTGCCAATAGCAACAGCTGCTGCCAAATTTTTAAAATATATTGACTCAGTGGTACTTCAAAAGGACTGCTATTTCTGCCGTGTACCAATACATTTACAACAATGCAATTTCTAAATTGATCTCAGATTCTAAGAGCAAAATCTTATGGTGGATATCTGCATAAATTTGGATTCTCTTGACAACTTCAATTGTTTTTATTATATACTTATATTGGTTATATATTTATATGTTACTACAGTGACAGTTGTTCCATATTAATGGTAGCCTGCTTGAATTTCAAAAAAACTTTCACAGATATATTTGTCTCTTTCAGTTCATTTTTTAGCAAAGAATAGGTCTTACTAAGCCAGAATTTGCTTAGTACGATTTCTCTCTCGTACCATCCTAATTTTCTCGTTTTAATTCCTGATACTTCTTTCTTTTATTTCTGTCCTTCATTAGTCTGTTTTATAAGACCCAAATCAAGTGCTGATTCCGACTCAAAACCTTCCTTGATCCCGTCAAAGATTTGTCTTTCTTATGAATATCCAGAGTGTTTTGTTAGTATTTCTTTATTGTAGTTTTTGTATATTTGCATTATTCATCCAGTGAAGAAATATTTGTTAATTACGTTCAGATACTGTACTGGGCAATGGATAATAGCTGACATTTGTGGGCTTACTGTATCGTAGGCATAATAAGCTTCTTAATCAGATTATCTCTTTTAATCTTCAAAGCATCACGAGTATTAGTCTATTATTTTTCCCATTTATAGATGAAGAAACAAGTTTAAGAGGTTAAGTAATTTGCTGGAGATCACAGAGCTAGTTAAGTGGTGGAATTGGCATACAACCTTAGGTAGTCTATTTACAACCTTCAGGTTACAGACTTCATTACAATTTGTTTATGTACTTTTTTATGCATCTATGTTTTACAGGTTTTACTAAGTTGTAAATTATTTGATAGCAGGAATAATATATTCATATCTGATCCCTTATTGTTCCTAATGTAAATCAGTGGTATAATAAAGCTGATAGTGGAAGCACATAGGGAGGACATCAGACTTAGATGAACGGGAACAGTGAAGAGATCTTGGAACAGAAGACATTTAAACCCAGTGCTGAAGGATAAGTAGGCATTGGCCTGACGAAAAGGCAGACACCATGGAATTTGGGAAGATGACCTGGGGAAATATATGTGTGATAGTCCAAGGTCAGGAACCATGATGGCTTGAGCTGTGCTGTCCAGTATGGTAGCCAGTAGCCTTACATTACTGAATGTAAAATATCTCAATAATTGTTTATATTGATTATGTTTCAAAATAACATTTTGGATATATTTGGTTAAATAAAATACTCAGTTTTACCTGTTTCTTTTTACTGCTTTAATGTGGCTACTTGGGGATTTAAAATTACATGTAGGGCTCTTATATTTCTATTGGACAGCACTGATCTAGAATTTAGAGGGATTTCAAAATGACCGGTATTGTGTTTGTGTGCCACCTACTTGTGAGTACACGTTTGATGGGGAAGGTGGATTGGGAAAGTAGGTTGGGAGTCAGTATTGGAGATGATGGATAAGACCAGAAAAGGTAGATAGGAAAGTGTAAAGGTAGGGTTCAGATAGGGTTTACAATAGGAAGAGAGGAAGAGCAAGGGGAGTAAACTTACCTCTTAAGTGCAATGGAAAGCCTCGAAAGGTTTTAAACACTCAGTATATATCTGTTGAATGAGACAGTATCCTAATTACTTCATCTAATAATGCATGTTCCTGATTTATACTCCTAATTCAGTCATACTTTTTCCTAATGAAGTTATGGATAGGTGTCTAAAGACATTCTACTTAGAAGAAAATTTGGTTCTCAAGACAGCCATCCTTTTCTTCTTAAGTCTAAATCATCTAAGCTTGTATTCATTCCTTTGCTGTGTTTCCAACAAATAGGAGTGTGAATTGGTCTTTACAACTAGCATATTCTTCTTGCATTTGACATAACATTCTCTTAGGCATATTTTTTCATAAATAAACCAGCTTTGTCTGTATTATAAGTCTTTTGTGGCAGATGAGGTCTTTTCTTAATAATCTCTGAAAGGAAATTTCTTAGCAGCTACACCATTTGCTCTCTGCCTTGCCTTTCTCTACATATTGGAGCAAGTGAACTCTTAACATTGATTCTGTATTTGGGTGGTTGTCAATCCTGGCTGCAAATGAGAAGCACTTGGAGAGCTTTTAGACTCTGAGTTCTTGGCCCTATTCCAGAGATTGTTTTAATTGGTCAGAGATGGGAACTGGTTATAGGTATTTTTAAAAGCTCTTTAGGTTATTTTGATGTGCTATAGACCTACACTTTTCAGTAGATTAGCTACTGAATACATGTTCTATTGAGTTCTTGAAGTGTGGCATGTTCTATTGAGTTCTTGAAGTGTGGCTAATACAAAAGGAGATGTGTTGTAACTGTAAAGTATACATTGTATTCTAATGACAGCAAAAGAAAACAATGGAAAATTTCTCATTGATAATTTTTATATTATTGCATATTGAAATAATATATTGACTATACAGCATATGGAGTGAAATAAAAGCTGTTAATATTAATCACCTTTTCATTTCATATTTACTTAACTGGGATCACTAGGAAATTTTAAATTACACTGTAGATTACATTGTATTTCTAATGAACAGTGCCGCTCTAGCCTAGACTGTTGCTACTCAAGATGCCGTCCGAGGACATCATTTGTCAAAAATGTAGACTCCCAGGCCCCACTGCAGACCTGAATCAAAATCTTCATTTTAACAGAGTTCCCAGGTGATTCATATACATAGTATAGTTTGAGAGACACAGCTCTGGCAACATCTAAATGATTTTTTTCAATTGTATAATTTTTCTTCGTTTCTTACTATTTTTCACTGTGGATTTCAACTTTGGCTCTTCATTTGTCCTTTAGAATCATTCATATGCAGGTCATTTCTGTCTTTTCAATAAATTCTCTTTAATTTTTTTATCGCTTAACATTTTCAACAGACATAGCTTTTTAATGTATGTGATGGAATTAGTATGTATTCATGTAATACGTATAATTTGTACATAAATATTTACATGCTATTATAAACATGATTTTTCTGGAAAGAATTTCAAGAAATTGCTGATAGTAGTTACATTGGTGGTAGAAATTTTTCACTTCGTTGTGAATTTACATTCTTATTTAGATTTTCTGTGTGTATATTTTGCTGTTTTAAAAAAATATGGGACTTTAAATAATGTAGTTCTCTATAATAAAATTTCTCATAAGTAGATTTTTAATATAATGTTCACGACCTCAAAGTAAAATAAAATAAATGTGCTGTGGGCTAAGAAACGGCCATATGGCTGAGACAGAAATGACCGTGCACATGATCCCCAGATTGGTGGTAGACAGAGTTAATGAACCTGTTGTAGAGCATAGGATGTTCTATGTCTGCGAATGTTCCTAAGTTGATCTGTGAACATGTATGTACACACACAGACAGATGCATTTCCTTTGCCAATTTTGTTGGCTTGCGTCAACTATAGCATCTACATGGGGATTATGGGCTAAGACATCCATACTCTAACATGACATTTATTGCATATATTCCATTATGTGACTTAATAGTTGATTCATCCAGTCCCGTTTTGATAAACATTTCTATTTTTACCATGCTTTTACCTTAAAAATGTGATAGTGATTTTTAAATGACTCAAAAGGCTATGTCAATGCCCTGAAACATTCTGTGTAGTTTGTATCTTTATCACATGTAGGCATTTGATTTGGTGGAATATATCTTTGGCTCTCTGTTCTGTTTTTGAGGACATCAAATGTGCTGATTTCATTTTTTTTAATGTCCTTGATAACCTTTTTACGGTTGGTCAATATGCCTGACTAGCAATACAGCCTGTTAACTGAAGATTTTTCTTCAGAATTTTGAATAACTTGTTAACTGTTTCATTCTTTAGTGTAGTTACAGGGTGGACATCTGTTCTTCACTTACAAGCTAACTGCTTCTTGCCTATGTTGACTTGCTTCTGTTTTCTTACAAGCATATGTTTTGTGTGCCTACGGAAACTTCAGTTTTCCTGGCTTACTTTCCTTGAATTAGTTTCTGTTTCTCTTTCTATACCCTTTCCCATCCCTTTATCATTTTCTTGTTTTGGGTTCGTATTTTTACCTCCTCCTATTTGTTACGCACAGTGCCAGGTATTGAAGATACTGTTTTTAGAGCAGATGGGCTACTATCTCCTAGGGGCAAATTGTAGAAGGAAACAGCCAAGTTTTGACTAATAATTCTTTCACTTGTCCTGCAACATAGGCTACTAAGAAGCAGCATATTGGGGCTGGTTTAATGATGTGTATAAATCGGTTTGCTTCAGTTTTTTATATTGTGGCTTATAAACATGGTACCTCATGAATATTTTCCGTCACCTCTAGAGGAAAGCTAAATTCTTGCCCACCCTATTGGATAATTTGAATTACATAGGAATGTTAGGCCAGAGTATTAATTAAATATGATCTTCTAAAATTATAAGCATTCTAGGCTGAGCATGGTGGCTCACATCTGTAATCCTAGCACTTTAGGAGGCTAAGGCAGGAGGATCACCTGAGTCAAAGAGTTCAAGACCAGCCTGGACAACATAGCAAGACCTTGTCTATATAAAAATTTTAAAAATTAGTTGTACATGGTGGTGCACCTGCCTTGCTACTCAGGAAGCTGAGGCGGGAAGATCACTGGGTCTCAGGAGTTTGAGGATACAGTGAATTATGATTGAGCCACTGTACTCCAGTCTGGGGAACAGAGTGAGACCCTATCTCTAAAAATAAAAGTATAAGCATTCTACAGTGTTCACTAAATTGCCTTGGGATCAGATGTTAAAACATTTCACTTTCTTTTATTTATTAGATAGTATTTGATACACGCAAAAATAATATAGCTGGAGTGTTCTAATGAAAAGCTCCCTGCCCACTCAAAAAAAAAAGTTCTAATATGACAATTCTGTAGTATTAGTAAGTGCTGTCTTGGCCAATTTTTAGCTCTTAACATGACATGGCTGAATGTGGAGGCGGAAAGTGATGTCCCCGGTTGATTCTTGAAAGCTCTCATGGGTAGGCTCCACCACACTCCTAATGTAAGTGTATATGTTTTGAAGCATAATAATAAAGACCCATGAACCTATCCCTCAACTTAGGAACTAGAACAATTACAATATTATTGTGACCTTTCTGTTTCCTTTTGTCAAAATTATTTAAATATTTTGCCTTTGATGTGGCAAATACGTAATAGTGCTTAATGTGCACCAGGAACTGTTCTCTTTATTTGACTAAGTCCTTTAATCCTTATAGTATTTCTATGAAGTAATGTTATTGTCATTTTACAAATAAAATTACGCATAGGGAAGTTAAGTAACTGAGGCCACACAGCGAGGAATTGCCAGAGCCAGGACTCTAACCCGGGTGGTCTGACTCCAGAATCTGTGCTCATAACTACTACACACACTACCTCTTTTGATGTTTCCATTTATAGATAACCTTTGCTTATATTATTTGCTTATATTCTAGAGGATAAAAGGTTTACATTTGACTGTAAGGGGACTATGTCTCTAGGGCAGTATCAAGAGTGCTGCTGTTGATTATACATTCCAGTTTTGTGGATTTCAATTTTATCATTAAAATTCTCTTGAGAAATTTTGAAAGTCTATAAGTCTACTTTAGAAATAGTTGGCTTGCAGTCTTCTCTTTTTTGTTTTTGCATACTTTGCCCTTTTATATGGGTATATGAAATTGACAGCGATTTCTTGAGAGTTCGTTTCAGCTGTTTTGAATTTTTAGTTCTCTGACCTCTATTTCAGCAGCAAGTGGCAGTTCAGGAGATGGTTATTCCACATGAGTGATTGGAAACAAAAATGTGGTGATGGGCATATTTTTGGTGATATTACTAGACACGTACAAAGTCAGCTGAACAAAGAATACCGAGAGCTTGAAAAAGAAAAATGCATAAAGGTTTAATGCAATGATGATAAGAAATATGTTGTTATTAAAGTTTAAAAATAAGGTGTTAGCATCCACTTTTCAGTCTAAAAGAAAAGATGATAGAAAAGATGTGTGTTTTCTTATTCAATTTAGCCTTGCTTAATTGCTGTATTTTTGCTTCAGTAGAAGATGCTGTTTGTATTGTGAATTACAGTAGAACTATTTTTCACACTAATGGAAAGTTTAAATTGGCAGACAGAGTAAGAGAAAAGAAACCATGTATTAAAAGGTAAACTGAGACATGATAACTTTTAACAAGTTTATTTGAGGAAATAGTGATTCTTGAATCAGGCAGCTCCAAACCAGAAGTGGTCTGGGAGCTCCGCAGTGGAAATGCAAGGCAGGAAATCTTTATAGGACTGACAGAAGTAAAGCAAAGAAAATAGTTGATTGGTTACAGTTATAAGGTTGTCTAATTTGATCTGTCCTGCTGGAAGGTCCCTAGTTACATAAGTTAGTTGGTGGTTTCTGATTGCTTAGTCTTAAGTTTTTTTTTTAAAAAAATAGGAATTTACCAAAAAATTAGCCCAAGTTAAGTGTTGCGTATGTTTGCAAATCAAGCAAAATTAAAGTCACTTATGAGGCCTAACTGGTTTTGTCTGCTCAGGGATTCTTCAGGCCAGGTCTCTGTTCTAATTTACTTTAACAGGAAGTAGAGGAAATATAACCGATTGAAGCTTTGAGGACCTTTTCTGCCAATATAAAGAATTTTATCTGGACCTTCCACATAGATAAGAATCTCCTTTTGAAAATCTTTTACTAAATGACATCTCAAAACTTACCTTAGCAACACTTTGTTGTTGTTTTTTAAGACAAAGTCTTGCTCTTTCGCCCAGGCTGGAGTGCAGTGGCATGATCTCGGCTCACTGCAGCCTCTGCCTCCTGGGTTCAAGTGATTCTCGTGCCTCAGCCTCCCGAGTAGCTGGGATTATAGGTGTGCACCACAATGCCCAGCTAATTTTTTGTATTTTTAGTAGAGACGGGGTTTCACCATGTTGCCCAGGCTGGTCTTGAACTTCTGAGAGCTCAGGCAGTCCGCCCGCCTCGGCCTCCCAAAGTGCTAGTATTACAGGCATGAGCCACTGCACCTGGCCAGCAACACATTTTTAAGGTTTAGCTACCACAAGCTGCTAATAAAGTCGAAATAGACGTGACATGAGGGAACCTGGTTGTAATAAGTCTTGCCATTTAACTAGCTGTGTTGAGGGCAAATTAACCTCTCTGGGTCTTGTTTTATAAATAGAAAGGCTGGTATCTCCCATATAATGACATGGTGGGATTTAAATGACAGGACTTGGGACTTCATGGATATTTTGATACTTTTTTTCATATTGATAGGAAAAGTTTAAGGTCAAACAGTGATAGGGCTGGAAGGAATCTTGGTAATGTCATCCCATTTCACATTTTATAAGGGAGGAAAAGTCAGCTCTGTAGCAGTTATCAGTGAGTGAATTTGAAGTCAGACAGCATGGTCTGTGTAAGGTACCCCTTACTCTTTCTGAGCCCTGTTTCCCCTTACATCTTTTAAAATCTCTTTTCCAAGTCAAAATACTTTTTTGACATCTATCCCACTTCTCCTCAGTTAAATCAATATTAATAAAGCAATATGTACTATACTGTGTGAGACACTGGGACCTTTTTGATAGATGACCTCATTTTCTGTCACTATGAGAAAATCGAGTCCCTGACTCACTCAGCATCTGTTCTAGCCTCCTAGTATGCTTTCTAGTAATGCAAAGGCTAGCTAGCACAAAAAACTACACTTCCCCAACCCATTGCGGTGAGGATTGTGGATATGCTTTAGATTCCACCATATGCACTTACGTAAGGCCTGAATTCAAGGTAGGTAAGAGAGTCAGGCATGTGAAGCATCTGTTCTACTAGTGTGGGTAGCACAGAGGGTTTCAAAGAGTTATCTTTGAGTTAGAGTTATCTGGAGGGTTTATTGAAACACAGATTGCTAGTTCCCACTTCCAGAGTTCCCGGTCTGGAGAGGAGCCTAAAAGAGTTTACACGTCTGACAAGTTTCAGGTATACCTTCTTTGACAGTCTGACAACCTGAGAGTCTGGAAATTGGAGAAACACGTCTCGTTTCTAGAAGAAGCGCTTACAAGAGAAGATCTTTTCCACTCAAAATCTGTATACAGATATTGCCACATGGATATTTTAAAATTTATTTAATAGAGACTCCAAGTATAGATACTTTCCTATATTGTGATCTTCAACTCTACAGTTAAAGTGGCCCAGAAAAGTACAAAGTACTGCTGAGAAATTCTCCAAAGAAAGGCACATAATTAAGAGCCTTAATTAGAAATAAAAATATAGTCCAGGCCTGGTTTTGTTTGACGTCAGGGGCTTTTGTTTAGGTGGTTTAAGGGAGGGGAGGATGGGGTGAGGAACAGAATTACAAGGGCAAATCATGCAGTGTGCACCAGTCATTGAAAGGTTTAGGAATCTAAAAAAATTTTTTGGTGATCTTTTCCTTTTTATTTTTGGGCGATCATTTTCTTTTGTTGATCTTTTTTGATGATCTTTTTACTTACATGATTAATTAGGTGGGATGGCTGGGTAAAATCCTTGCCATTTTTTGGTTACCCCTTTAATTTTGTCATATTCCTACAATACTTTCATTGTTTCAGTAAATTATATTCCGAATTTAGGGTTTCTATGTTGGTTTATTAACCTTAAAATGAGTTTGAATTTGTGAAGTAGTAAAATGTAGGTAGTTGGCATTTATTTGATCAGATTACGTTGTCTCAAATTGGTTTCTGAGTTTTATTGATTTTGCAGCTCAGCCTTTCAATTTCCTCTAAAATTATTCTGTAAAGTGTACTTTTTCTTTTAGATATCTTGAGCTAATGATTATTTTGGCAAATCGACTCTTTCATTCATTCAAAACATATTCATGGTGTGCTTGCCATGTGCCAGAATCTCTGCTAGTCTCTGGGGAGGTGATGGCCAGTGGAAACATCCCTGCCCTTGTGAAACTTTGCAGTGAACTGGGGAAAGGGACAGACTCTGAGCTGTATGTTAGCACAAGTGTAAAATTCAGTCTAGGAAAAGTACTGCAAATTTTATGCTGAAGTAATTTGATTTGTCAGGAAAGGCTTCCCTGAGAAATGAATACTTAATCTGCAAGCTAAAGGATGAAGAGGAATTAAGTAGACCAAGAAGGGAGAAATCCATTTTCCAGGCAGTAGGAACAGTGTGGACAAAGGTCCTGAACCAAGAAAGAGCTTGACAGGAATAGGTGCTTGAAAGATGGCCAGTGCAATTGGAGGAGAGAGGGAGAATTTGTGGGAGAAGGAGCTGAAGCAGCAGGAGGGGAGTCAGGAGTGAATACTGGCAACTGGTTAGGAACCTTTGCAGCACTCCAGTGGGGAGAAGGTGGCAATTTGGACTATGTTGGTACTGGCAAAGATAAAGTACACAATTTTAAGCTGTATTTAGAGGGTTGTTTTTTGTTTCTCTTAAAAATTATATCGTTCATTAGTTTGAAGTATGTTGTAGAAGTTGCAGATTGATTGATTGCTTGTACTTTTTTCCTTTTAGGAATTATCCAGACTGCCTCTGCCACTAGATGAATGGAAGACAATGATTTGAATTAAGTGCCAGCAAAGAATTATCCTTGGTTTTTGTGCTTTGCAGCATTCCTCAAATTGTTTTCACATCTTCTCTTATTATAAAAACTGCATTGAAGTTAAAAATGAAGCAGTTGAAAAGAAAAAGGAAAAGCAATTTTAGTGTTCAAGAAACTCAGACCCTTTTGAAAGAAATTACAAAACGGAAAGAAGTCATTTTTTCCAAACAGCTCAATACAACAATTAACGTGATGAAGCGAATGGCTTGGGAAGAGATTGCACAGTGTGTGAATGCTGTAGGAGAAGGAGAACAGAGGACAGGGACAGAGGTGAAAAGAAGGTACCTTGACTGGCGAGCACTTATGAAGAGAAAGAGGATGAAGGCCAACATTAAGCTGGTCGGTTCGGGATTTCCCCTTCCCTCCTCTGATTTAGATGACTCTCTCACTGAAGAGATAGATGAAAAGATTGGATTCCGAAATGATGCAAATTTTGACTGGCAAAATGTGGCAGATTTCAGGGATGCAGGTGGATCCTTAACTGAGGTCAAGGTGGAAGAGGAAGAAAGGGATCCGCAGAGTCCTGAAGTAAGTATTAGCCTCTGTACCCTCTTTTAATCTTTTCAATTCTGATGTGGGAGATTATTGTTCAGGAACTGTTAAGTCCTTCCCAGATTTTCAAGCTTATTTAAAAATAGTACATAACAAGTCATTCTGCTTTTCTCTTTACATCATTAATACTTTTCTTCCCACCTAAATATAATTACCTAGGTTATGGGTATTACAGACATCAAGTAATTCAGTGTAAATGGTATTCAAAATTCAACTTATTTTCCCCAAACAATGCAGAAAGCTTTTAAGAAATATTTAGACAAATTGCCACAAAGTAGCAGTCAATACTGAAAATTGCTTTTCTCTTTGCTCTTAGTTTGAAATTGAGGAGGAGGAAGAAATGTTGTCATCCGTCATACCAGATTCCAGGAGAGAAAATGAACTTCCCGATTTCCCCCACATTGATGAGTTTTTTACCCTTAACTCAACACCATCTAGATCTGCATATGATGAGCCTCATTTGCTTGTAAATATTGAGAAACAGAAACTAGAGTTAGAAAAACGACGACTGGATATTGAGGCTGAAAGACTGCAGGTAGAAAAGGAACGCCTACAAATTGAGAAAGAGAGGTTGCGGCATTTAGACATGGAGCATGAGCGGCTTCAGCTGGAGAAGGAGCGGCTGCAGATTGAAAGAGAGAAGTTGAGGTTACAGATAGTCAATTCAGAGAAACCGTCCTTGGAAAATGAACTTGGTCAAGGAGAAAAATCCATGCTTCAACCACAGGACATAGAAACAGAGAAGTTAAAACTTGAGCGAGAACGCTTGCAACTGGAAAAGGATAGACTGCAGTTTTTGAAATTTGAATCTGAGAAACTGCAGATTGAAAAGGAACGCTTACAAGTAGAGAAAGACAGACTTCGAATTCAGAAAGAAGGACACTTGCAGTGATTTTTCCAGGCTTCCGTTTAGCAAATGTTTGAAAATTGTAGATTTTTCTCATATCAGGTGATATAATGATGGTTGCTGGATTAGCTGTGGTTTCTTTTCTTGTCTAATATCAGTGTTCAGTAGGAAAAAGTTATATGTAGATAACTGTATGCCTAAGTAGTATATAAAAACTGTGCCCTAGCATAAACAGTATAGCAGAAATGTACTGTGCTGGATTCTTTACCTTATAATATTACATAGAGTCTTGTATTGTCTGTGTACCCAGAGTTTACAATTATGTCTATATAAAATTCTAGCCCAGAAGTTCTCAATTGGGGTAGATTTTGGCCTTCAGAAGACCAATTTGGTGATGTCCGGAGACATGTTTGGTTGTCAAAACTGGGGTGGGGAGAAGGTTGCTACTGTGCAGTGCATACCTCAAGCCCCACACACACTTAGTAAAGAATTTTCCGACCCAAAATATCGTTGGTCCTGAGGTTGAGAAACCCTGTCCTAGCCTAACTGTGTACCTCTATAGCTATGTTTTATAGTTTTAGAATATTAAAACCTCAGATATTTATGTGGGTAGGTACTTAAATGGCCAAAAACTTTAACTATGAAATGTTACTGTGTAGTATATTGAATATAGGAAGTGATGAAGATTATAGGTATTTTATTCCCATGTTTCCATCTATAAATAGCCTTCTCAGATTCAGAAAACAATACGGGGAACATCAGAGATTATCTAAAGTGGGTCACTCTGAAAAGAATTCTTTATCTCATTATTAATGCTCTAGAAGCAAGACACAATTTTAAAGCTTTAGTTCCTTTTCTTTCAGTCATTGTCTTAGTTTGGGTATGAAAATTGTCATTTCAGTAATGTACTGAGATCTTATAAGTGAATAGTTGAAGCTAGTAAAAATGATACCAGTATAAAAATGGTATTTGTAGTCCATGAGCTTGAACCCAATAACTGATTGTTTAACTTTTAAAATAAGTAATAGCAGCCATTTGGGAGTGGGCGGCGGGTGGGGGAAGATGTACTCTGTATCAAATAATTATGATGATGTTGAAGTAATGACAGTAGCTATGTATTATGGATTGGAGAAGCACTTATTACACTATCTAACCCAGTATGTAGAACAATTCTTGAGAGTTGTATCTGTCGTTATTCCTGAATCTGAAGCCCAGAGAAGTCACACAGAGTAAATGGCTGATCTTTTATATTGTAGTGTATTCTGTCCTTCCCCCTTCCCTGAGGAACAAAGTATGTATCTTTAGTCTCTTGGATATTTATTCTGAGACCAAGGGCTTGCTTGACCTGATGATTTTCCTTCAGCTCTCTGAAGGTGCGTTTTCCACAATCCAAGTGATTCTGATGCACACTAAAGTTGAGAATCTCTGCACTGGATCACTTTGTGTTTTCTGATTTTCAAGGCTGATATGTAGCTTTAACACAGCTCTTCTGTTGACAGTTACTACCTTGCTTCTGCATTTGTTCCTTGTAAGAATAGCTGGAAATTGTATGTTGACATTTGAGGATGGGTATGCAAGGAAAAAATATACTTCTGTTTACTTACTCTGACTTTGAAATAGTGTTATTTTTCTATATCTGAAATAAATGCTTCTACCGTAGAAATAAATTTGCCTACACCATCTGAGAATTTGTAATTGCAAATGATACTCAGTGCTCTAAGGGTAGAGGTTATCAAGCTTAGAAGAGAGCCCTATCACAGTCAATGAGGACAGAGACCTAACATTTTGGCTGAACATTGAGCCATGTATGCTGCATACGTTATTTGCTCCTCAAAAGAACCCTTGAGATCTAACTCATGTGATATGGTTTAGCTGTGTCCCCACCCAAATCTCGTCTTCAATTGTAGCTCCCATAATTCCCATGTGTTGTGGGAGGGACCCAGTGGAAGATAATTGAATCATGGGAGCAGTTCCCCCATACTGTTCTCATGGTAGTGAATAAGTAAGTCTCACAAGATCTGATGGTTTTATGAGAGGAAACCCCTTTCTCTTGGTTCTCATTTTCTCTCTTGCCTGCTTCCATGTAAGACATGCCTTTCACCTTCTGCCGTGGTTATAAGGCCGCCCCAGCCACATGGAACTGTGAGTCCATTAAATCTTTTTCTTTATAAATTACCCAGTCTTGGGTATATCTTTTATCAGCAGCATGAAAGCAGACTAATACATCATGTTATTTCCACTTGTATAACGGCAACAACAACAAAAAGCCTCATTGATTTAATTAACCATCTTTCTTAAAAATTACATACCAATATTGACCCAAGATTTTAGCATAAGAGCTCTAAGGAAAAGTAGTGAAAGTTTGTAGGTATAGTTATAAGTATTGTAGCTTTGCCATTTGCTATTTGCAAAAGTCATTTAACTTGCTCTTCAGTTTGGTTTCTTCTGTAACCTGGGCATGATACGTACTCTGCCTGTGCTACATAGATTTTTGTTTTTGTTTTTGTTTTGTTTTGTTTTTTAAAGAAAATGGTATCTGTTAAATATATAAACTATAAAATACTACCTAAGTAAAAGATGGTATTAATGTTGGATTTGAGATCCAAGATTTTTTGAGACGGAATTTCACTTTGTCACCAAGGCTAGAGTGCAGTGGAGCAGTCTTGGCTCACTGCACCTCTGCCTCCCAAATTCAAGCAATTCTCCTGGCTCAGCCTCGTGAGTAGCTGGGACTACAGGCAAGCATCACCACCACCACCATGCCAGGTGAATTTTTGTATTTTTTGTAGAGATGGGATTTCACTGTTTTGACCAGGCTGGTCTTGAACTCCTGACGTCAAGTGATTCACCCGCCTCTGCCTCCCAAAATTCTGGGATAACAGGTGTGAGCCACCATGTCTGGTCAGTTTTTAATTTCTTAGGCAAAGCATGAAAATAGCTAATAATTTTTTTTTGGATAGAGCACTCTTAAATGCCTGGAAGTAAGAAACTAAAAAGAAGCATATCTTCTAGGGCTTTGGTTGAAGAGCTTTGGATTTCTTAATCCTGCTTTAGGTGCAGATGGGTTGGATTGGTTCATTCCAGTAGGAAACACTGTTGCTGTACTTCTGAGGTGTCAGGCACACTCATAGTGAGTGCATCTATTAGCTACTGCGGTGTAACAAACTGATCAAAAATTTGATGGCTGGAAACCCCAACCATTTATTTTGCTCAAAATTTTAGAGGAAATGAGGCACAGCTTAACTGAGTGGTTTTGCTCTTGGCTGGGTTCTCAGTGTCAGCTACAGGTTGGCTATGATGTTCAACTTCTGGGGTTAGCTAAATAACAGAAGGGCAGGGGGTGGTAAATGGTGGAGCTAAGCTCTCCCTATGGTATTTGATCCTATAGCCATGGTAGCTTGGGCTTGTTCTAATGGAGATGGCAAGCGTAGAGGAGAGAAAGCAGAGGTGTTCAAGGTGGCAAGGCCAAGTCTCGGAACTAGCACTTCGTTATGCTTCTGCCACACCAGATTGGCCAGAACTAATCACAGAGCCAGACCAAAGTCAAGGCTTGGGAAATGGAATCCACCTACTGATAAGAGGAGATGTTAAATTGGGTAAAAGTGGGATACAGGGGCTGGGCATGGTGGCTCACACCTGTAATCCCAGCACTTTGGGAGGCTGAGGTGGGCAGATCACAAGGTCAGGAGTTGGAGACCATCCTGGTTAACATGGTGAAACCGCATCTCTACTAGAAATACAAAAAAAAAAAAAAAAAATTTGCTGGGTGTGGTGGTGTGTGCGTGTAGTCCCAGCTACTCTGGAGGCTGAGGTAGGAGAATGTCATGAACCTGGGAGGCAGAGCTTGCAGTGAGCCAAGATTGCATCACTGCACTCCAGCCGGGGTGACAGAGCGAGACTCTGTCTCCAAAAAAAGAAAAAAAAAATGGGATACAGGGAGGGCTGAGGAATTGTGGCCATGTTTGCAATCAGTCTACCACATCTTCACTCTGGTTTGCCTGGGATACTGTGATTATACCAGTGGTTCTGATATTCTATCTGGTTAGTTCTAGACAAAAGTGCCTTGATAAGGACTTTGAATTATATGGGCATCCTTATTGTAAGGAGCACCTTGCCATCTATTTTGTAGAAATGGTTGGTTTAGGAGAAGGAAGGGACCATAAATTTGCAGAAAAGAAATATATAGTGTTCTCTCAGGCTTTTTCTTCTAAATTAAACACTTTAGTCTTTGTAATTGAAGGGAATTTCTGCTTCACTTCTTTCATTTTCTGCCTAATTTGTCCATTTTATATTACTTTGCTGCTTCTCTGTTCATTTTTCTACTTCTTCATGCTTTGTCACCTCTATCCTGTATATAAAAGCAGATCATAATGCTTCCAGAATATTTTATTTTGAATAGATATCTTTTTCTACCTCTCTGTCCTTAACATTTTTGTTTTGAATCCAAAATGATTTTTACTGTATTGCTCTACATTTGTTTTAACATTACACTTTCCCAAAAGTAAATTTAATTTATAAAATATTTAATTTTTAATCTATCAGGGCTTTCAAGTCACTATCATCAGACCTGAAGTTATAATTTTGAAAGCTCTCAGAGAACTACCAGCCTGTTTCCTTTTTCTACCTGTACTTTTTTTTAACATGTGTAGATCCTCTTTATACATGCCAGGCAGCGTTTTGCATGGGGCCTTAATTAAAATCCAGATGAGGATTGTCTGTCAAATGTATCATTTTTCAAATATCTCCCAATGCATATTGAAAGGGATCTAGCTTATATATAACTGGGACACAGCTGGAGAAGAACATACCTCTTTTTAAAAAATAGGAAAGTTGGATGCTGAAATCACAGATTAATTTACCACTGTAGATAGAGGCATTCAGACTGTGCTGTTTGAATTAAGACTAAGAAGAAACAAGAAATGGCAATTATTATAAAATTTGAATTTTTGTACATTCAGAGAACTTTATCAATACCCTTTATTATTTACCATTTGTTTCTTTGATGTGACCTATTCATCTTTAGAAAAATAAACTGAAATATAGTCAGTCAACTCTTAATGTCATTTCCATTCTAATTTAAAATCTCCAGTTCCAACATTTGAGCTGAAATATAAATTTACAAGCACTTATAAGCTTGTAAATTTATAAGTTATAAGCATCTCACCTTGTGTATTTTTGTTCCTCCAAATACACAATGCACGCCAGAATCAAATTCATTAGCTCTTTTCTCTCATACCTGTGAATCATCTTCTCTCTGCAGGGACACCATTTGTATCAGGTTGCTTGGAAATTTTAGATGTGTCTTTGAGTCTTTTGCCTTCATTCTATCCAAGTTGTTGATCAAGTCCTGTATTTTCTCCTGCTGATGGCTCAGAACAGCCTCCTTCAATCTCACATGTAGTCCTTAGCATGGAGGCATGTGTAGCCTGTATTCCAGCAACCTCTCAGTTTCTTCCTATCCAGTCCTCCCTGTGTTATACTTCCAGAATAGCTTTCCCAAAGTATCAGGGGAACCAGCCCCCAATATTCCAAAGTAGGTTCTTTTCTATTTTCCCTAAGCATCGGCCGGTCTGAGAAATAAAGGGAAAGAGTACAAAAGAGAAATTTTAAAGCTGGGTGTCTGGGGGAGACATCACATGTTGGCAGGTTCCGTGATGCCCCCTAAGCCACAAAACCAGCAATTTTTTATTAGCAATTTTCAGTGGGGAGGGGGTATACGAATAGGGTGTAGGTCACAGAGATCACATGCTTCAAAGGCAAATATCACAAGGCAAATGGGCAGGGCAAGGTCACAAGGCCAGGGCAAAACTAGAATTGCTGATGAAGTTTCATGTCCCACTGTGCACGCATTGTCATTGATAAGCATCTTAACAGGAGACAGGGTTCAAGAGCAGAAAACCGGTCTGACTAGAATTTGCCAGGCTGGAATTTCCTAATCCTAGCAAGCCTCGGGGTGCTGCAGGAGATGAGGGCATGTTTCATTCCTTATCTACAACTGCATAAGGCAGATACTCCCAGAGCGGCCATTTTAGAAGCCTCTCCCTGGGAATGCGTTCTTTTCCCAGGGCTGTTAATTATTAACATTCCTTACTGGGGAAAGAATTTAGCAATATTTTTTTTACCCATTTTCGGCAATAAGAGAAATATGACTCTGTCCTGCCTGGCTCCCAGGCAGTCAGACCTAATGGTTATCTCCCTTGTTCCCTGAACATCACTGTTATCCTGTTCTTTTTTCAAGATGCCCAGATTTCATAGTGTTCAAATACACATGCTTTATGAACAATTTGTGCAGTTAACGCAATCATCACATCACAGGGTCCTGAGGCGACATACGTCCTCAGCTTACGAAGATGACAGGATTAAGAGATTAAAGACAGGCATAGGAAATTCTAAGAGTATTGATTGGGGAAGTGATAAATGTCCATGAAATCTTCACAATTTATGTTCAGAGATTGCAGTAAAGACAGGCATAAGAAATTATAAATGTATTAATTTGGGGAACTAATAAATGTCCATGAAATCTTCATAATTTATGTTCTTCTGCCATGGCTTCAGCCAGTCCCTCTATTCAAGGTCCCTGACTTCCCGCAACACCAAAGTACTCCTTTTCTTACATCCTGAGAATTGACAGGACATGAAGTAGTGAAGATGAGCAAAGCTCAGGGGA